GAGCTGGGTTTAACTTCCTTGAAAGATTTTATTCATACGTAATTGCAGAGATTTAGAGAGAGAATAAGAACAGCAATACCCTCGTTCTCGTTCTCCCCCTTTTCTTTTTCAGTCATGAGATCATCTCTTCGTTTTTCGTATTCTTGATTCATCGATCGTCGATCGTAGTTTTTTTTTCCTCTCGTTCTGGATTAGGGTTTTATTCAGTTATCGTTGATCTCTATCACTTCACAGCTCGTGAGTGTTTGTTTGTTTGTTCTTGATTGATCGATATAAATGGAGAAAATCATTGGGGATGAAGATCGTATAGAAGAGAGGATGATCGGATCGCCTTCTAGCGACGGAAAGATGGTGATAAAACTCAAGATTCCGAAGCTCGCGGCGGCGATAGAAGGTGAAAAATCGTCGGAGGAGGATGTGATCGGAAGCTTCTCGACGTCGAGCTCGAGAATGGCGAAAGAAGGTGAAACGATGAATCAAGGAAAAAGGGTTTGTCCTGAATGTAAAAAAGAGTTCAGCTCGGGGAAAGCATTGGGAGGTCACATGAGGGTTCATGTTCAAGCCGCTAACAAGAATACTTTTCTAAAACACTCATCCAAAACAACTAAGTTTAACAAAGATGCTCATCATGATTTCAACAATGGCGATGAGAATCTGAAGAAACAACATCAACAGCAACAAGAAGAAAGAAAACCCTATTATGCGAGCTGCGTGAATGATGAGGGTAAACCCACATGTTCTCTATGTGGAAAAATCTTCCCATCCATGAAATCACTGTTTGGTCATATGAGGTGTCACCCCGAACGACTATGGCGAGGCATTCTACCACCACCCAACACCCCAACCCCAACCGCCGTCGCACCCCGCCGTAACCTAGTTAGAAATAAACCAAGCTATTTTGCTTCTTCCACTTCTTCTTCGTCTTTATCTGATAATTATGTCAATGAAGAAGGCAGCAACGTCTTTGATGGTGGTGGCTCCGGCGGCGATCAGGTGGTTGATTTGACAAAGTTTTTACGGGGGTGGTCGGTGACTGAACGGAGAGGCCGTAGGGCGTTGAAAGCAGCTGATGACGATGAGGTTTTACTGGAAGCGGTGGAGGATCTCATGAGCTTAGCTCATGCCGATCCATCTCCGGCGGAATCCGATGTTACTCAGAGGCAGTTAGGAGTGGCGCCGGTGGCGGTGCTTGAGCGTTCCAACAGTAATTCTCTAACAAATAAAGATCATCATAAAATCGACGAAAAGTCTCCTTCTATTCATCTTCCGGTGTCGACAGGGAAAGGAAAAGCAGCTATGGTGGAAGAAATCGAACCGGTGAAAATGGAGTTTGATGGTATGATCAAGAATTTTTCTGACAACGAATCCGATTGTAGAAACACCCAACATTTACTGATTAATTACAAATACAATAATCCATTCAGTAGCCCTTCTTACAACAGTCCTACCAAGATCAAAAAGAGGAAGAAGATGAAGCTGATGATGGAATTGGAACAGCTCCCCATCGTCGCCGGTGACCCAACTCTTCCACCACCTCTCCTGCTTCCATTGGCATTGTCAATACCGGAACATCATGAGAGTAAATACAAATGCACCACCTGCCATAAATGTTTCGCAACTCATCAAGCACTTGGTGGGCATAGATCAAGTCACAACAAGACGAAGCTCACATCAACAACCGATCATCATCATCATCAGACTGAACTAGAGGATTATGAGAGCTCTCTAATGAATCTATCCGGTGAACATGTGGAGAAAGAAGTCGAATTTGCAGCTGATGCCATGGTGACTCTGGGGAGCAATGGTATACTTCATCAATGTAAAATCTGCGACAAGATTTTTCCAACAGGACAAGCACTTGGTGGGCATAAGAGGTGCCACTGGACTGGAACCATCGAAGCACAAGCAGCTCCGTCGAGCCAAATCACCTCCACCGGAGAAGCAGCTAGTAGCTGCCGCCGGAAAGGTCTTGACATTGATCTGAATGAGTTTCCTCCGGCTACAATGATGGAAGATGAAGCTGGAAATGTAAATGGAAATGGGTATGCTTCTTCATCATACAACTCAAACATGGGTTAGTTCTTTTTTGTGATTTTATCACTTTTTCATTAGAATTAGTAGTAGTCGTAGTAGATATCATCAACTGATTTTCTTTTGTTTTCTTGAAAAATTGATCACTTTTTGGCAAGTGTTATTAGATATGGCTGGTGTTATGTGTTTGAATTTTATTGGTGATGATGACATGCAAGAGTGTTTAGCATGGGATTAAAGGAAAGTTCCAAAATACCCTTTTTTGTTGGTTTCTTTTGGATGATGATGATGATGATGATATCATAATGTAAGCAAGGTTGCATATGTACTAGGAATATATTGGACTTCAACTGGGATTAATCAAATCAATCAATCACTAGCTTTCTGAGTTTTCTGTGTTTTTGATCTTAATTTACTGCAAAGATTTTGTGGTGTTCAAGGTTACAATTTAAAAATGAAAAAACAAAAAAAAGATTTTTGTTTTTTTATATTTTGATAAGAATAAACAAAGGGTAATATTGGGCTTGGATTTTTGTGAAAAAGAATGTTGTTAAAAGGTAGATAATAAATAATTGGTGGATGTAAGTAGAAAATATAGTTGGAGGTTGTGAAATAACCAACCCAAAAGGTGGAAAGTGGGGTAGTGGAAGGAAGACTTGGACTAGGAAAATGTCAAAGAAAGAAGCCAAACTTATGGGGCTGAGTAAATTACAAGAATACCCTCATTATATTTTTGTCATATTTCTTGCAAGAATCAATAAAAGTTTTCCAAGTCACAAGTCATAACTTTGAGAATATCAAGAGTTGAATGGCATGCCTTTATTCAATGTTTTGAATGAATTATGTCATGAGCAAATTGGCAACTATTTTTATCAATTTTTTTACGTAAAATAATATGACCCTGTATTGCGTCATGCATATATGTTGTGTGAATGACCGTTTTAGCCATATATTTCCAAATATCACCAATCTTGAAGTAAAATCACCAGTTTTATTGGAGGTGGTAAATTTATTGCAGGTGGTAAATTTTTATACCACGCACAAATAAATAAGTTTGGGTTGTCTGATATGAGATCAGATCATAGACAGGTTAACCCGTGTAACTTGTATGATAAACAAACAGACTGTCTTCAGGTTGGTAGGCGGTTCGTGTGAGGACCCGCAAATCCTTTTAATTATATTAGGTTAAAAAAACACATTTTTCATTTTTGAAATATGCAATGCCTAAATCTATGTAGCCCTAAAAAGTAAATCACTTTAACACACTTATCCACAAATTTTGAACTCTTAGTCTCGTCCTTTCTCACGTTTTGAATTTGCAATGCCCTAAATCTTAATCATATCTATATGTCACGACTCCATGTTGCTTAGTCGACTATTGTTTAAATAAAGATCTTCTACCCTTAACTTTTTCTTATGAAATTGATTTAAAAAAAAAAACAGTATAAAATATATTAAAAAGTAATGAAGGTGATGTATATATGCTTTATATGGTGGTCACCAGCAAGCAATATTATGACCTACAAATAAGGGTGTAACTGCATCGAGCTAGCTCGTGAGATACTCGAAACCGACTCAAAAAATACTCGAAATCAACTCGGTTCAAGTCGAGTCGAGCTCGAGCTCTAGCTACTCGAGTATTGAAATATGCAGCTCATGAAGCTCGGGAGCTTAATCGAGCTTAATTATATTTATACTTTTCCCCTTTATTTTATTCATATTATACATGATCGAGCCGAGTCGAGTCAAGCTCATGAGTTAGGCGTATTTCTATTTCATTTTTTGTAATTTTATCTTTTTAATATATAGTCAAGTCGAGTTGAGCCAAGTTCGAAAGTGTCAATTACTTTATTGAGCTACAGACCGAGTTTGACATTGAGGCACGAGTTAGTTTTGAACCTGAGTTTTTTAGTTGAGTCAAGTTTCGAGCTTGACAGTATTCGAATCGATTACACCCTACCTACAAACCCGTTGATACTTGTGAATTCGAATAACAAGATTATGACCCACAAACACATAAATTGAGCGATATAAATGGTTTGTGTCCGTGTTTGGCTTATATGGATTAGTGTTGAACCATATTTTATTTTAATTACATGGGTCGCATTCAGGTTACGTTTTCTGACCCACCAACTCGCACATCCAAACACGACACGAATGACACTCTTATAATTTTTTTTATTAACCTTCACATAATTACTTGTATATGTATAAAAACTGGATTCTTGTTTGGCAAGAATCTTAGGTAACCTGTTTTTTAATTTTCTAAAGTAGGATGACATGGGGATTACAAAAGTCTACATACAACTTCCATAACACTAAAAAGCATGCCCATTAAGAATTCGAAGATGTTTTCGATATATTCCAATTCCACATAATTAACCACTTATAAATAATAATAAAAAAATACCACTGATAAAAGTCGGTACATGATAATAGGTCCATAAATGGACTTCCATATATTATAAGAATACTTTCCAAAAGTATCCATTTTTTTATTTCAAAATTTTCAAAAAAATACGAATAAAACGGATGACACATCAAGATCGTTTTGTACACTTTCGTGGGGTGGTAACGGGAACATTAAGCAACATGATATGTCACAAAGGTTACATCGCAAATGTGTGTGTATTGAATGTGGGTTGCATTGGATATGCACTATATCCATCTTGATAAATTGGCGTGTGTCTTTAAAATTCATTTTTTTATTTAAAACGTCATTTGAAATATCATGTTTATTAGTATAGTCCAATTTTAGTCAAAATCACATAAATCAAATCAAAATCAAATCCACCAATCTTTTATCACATTGAACAGACGATCCTAAAAATCTTCATAATTATAGTATAATTAACTATTTACTAAAATACAAAAACAAAAGAGAATTTAATCCAAATTAAGACCTTTCAAGAATGACATAATTAGCTACTACTTCATATAACCATAATTTTAATTAATTACACAAGATGCAAATCAACAACCTCCTTACAATAACCCAAAAACGAAACACAAATATTACAGAGGGTCATACTTATTATTATACGAGTGAATTAAGTGGGAACAAGCTCCACTTTTTGGGAAGAAATTTCAATGTAAAATGTCACAAACAATAGTATCAATTGGATTAAAAGACATGAACTTAATCTACAAACCCTATTTTTCAATCTCTTTACATCTTCTTCTGTTTCCTGTTTCTTCAACACCTTCTTATTTTCCAGTTTCTTTACATCATCTTGTAAATTATGTTTCATTTCATGCATCAAGCTTTTAGTTGTTGTAGTTATTGCTACAATTTCCACCTCAGCTTGGATATTTTCCTTCAAAAGCTCATCAAGCTCAGTTTTAGTGTCTGCTGATGTTATGGCAGATTCAAGTTCTGAAATTGTGGCATCTTTGAGCTCAAGAATATTACGAATCGAGTCATCAAAAGTCAATGGCTCTGACTCATCTTTCCCAATATCTTTCCATTTCTGCACTTCTGTAAATTATTTAAAAGAAAATGAATAATAGTTTATCAAGAATGAATAAAGTAGGAAACTTTAGTGTATACCTATTTCAAGTTCTTCCACAGAAGAATCGAAACTTGTGATGGATTCCACAAGGGCATCTTGGTCAAATCCCACCTCATGTTTCTCAATCTTTTCTTCCTTCACCTCCCATGAATCCTTAGCTTCTGCATCTTCTTGTGTGACACCTTCAGATTCAATTTCATTGTTTACAAGTTCATCATCATCATGTTTTGTAGAATTCCCACTCTGTTTACTTTTGGTTGCTACAGAGTTAGTAGTCCCCTGCACAAAGAGAAAGTTGTCCATATTGGAATCTGAATTTTCCTTCTCGATATTGAATCCCCTAAGCTTCTTGCTGGATCCAGTTTGATGATTGCTTTTCTGATTTCCAGAATGAACTGAAATGGCTGAATTTCCCCCATTTGAATTACTTATTTTAGGCCTTGTTCTTGGAGCATATGAGGACCTGATACTTTGGTCCTCACTGTTTTCAGAATCTGCCCTAGTTGCAAGAACAGAATGATCACCCAATCCAGAATCACCATGATGGAGTTTAGAATTACCATTAACATTCACCATAGAATCCCTAACTAGTGAATCACCCAAATCCCCATTATTTCTACTATCTATTTTACTACCTGGATTTTTAACAAGTTCCCTAGGCATCCTCCGCCATTTTCTCAATCCACGCTTATTTACAGATGGGGACGACGATCCATTGGACGAATCATTAACATCTTCAACGTGACACACACCATTACTTTTTAATTTAATTTCACTTTCACCGACATTTCCCAATTCTTCAGGGGATATCGACTCGTTAACATCCATTGGTTTTAGCACAGAACACTTGCTTAATTTTAACAATTGTATATAAATGATAGATACAACAAAAGCGATCCAAAAGTAACGCTAGAGGTCAAGATCGATAGTTAACAACAACCGTTTCCGGCTATAGCAAAACGAATCGGCGAAATTAAATCTCAAATTTCCAATTACGTATTGATTGAATTCAACTAAATGCCAATTGCTTAATCTTTTCACTTCCAAAGAGACGTCGACTCAAAAAAATTGAGAAATTAAATAAGTGAAGATAAAGTGTGAATTAAATGTGGAAGACTTCAACATACCTTAGTTTCCATAATGAATGAATGAAGAAAGCTTTAAATTGGAGAAAGTAATGCTGATTGAGCAAATTGGAAGAACTGGAACCCTAAATTGCGAATGGATATGAAATTTGTAGCCATGAAATTTCTAGGAAGATCAAGAGAATGAATCAGTCATTATTATTATTGTAGAATAAATAAAAGATATTGGAACGAGAGTGGGCACAACTAATGTAGCCGGTGGGCCAACGTACAGATATAACGGTCACGCTGGAAGTCACGTGACATGGGGTCTGTTTATTCCAATCTCACTATATATACTTGTACTTCGTGCTTGTGTAGTCATACCATGTTTCTTATTATTATTAATTTAAAAAAAAAAATCATATTTCATGTATTTATCTATATAGGAAGAAAATATGTATTTTGGGTTTAGTGGCAGATATAATCTTCTAAATTAGGGGTGTTTGTTTGGATAGATTGGTTTGATTCGATCCGATCAAATAAATCCAAATAGATTTTGGTTTTTCAAAAAATAGATATGAATAGTTCAAATTAAATTTAAAACCGATCTGATCCAATCAAACTACAACTTGATTGGATCGGTTTTTACAATTCGATTTTCAAGAGGAAAGACATTTTAAGATATATTATTTAGATATTAGCCAACTCTATAAAAGTAACTACAAAAACTTTTTAGTTATGAATTATAATTTATAAACTACTATTAAAAAAATGATTATAGTTTAATATTTCAATGATAAGAAATTTTTGATAAAAATACATATTAAGGTATTATATTGTATGAAAGTTTATAATACTTAAAAATAATAATTTAGTAATTTTATAAATGATTAAGGATAAAATTAATAATAAATTGTTTTCGGTTTTTTTGGATTATTCGGTTCTTATTTTATAAACCAAAACCAATCTGAAATCCAAAATAATAATTCGGTTTAATTTAATATAAATCAAAAATCCGAATATCCGAACCAAATAGTCAAATCTAAATTGTCCGATTGGACAATTCGGTTATAACCAAATAGTGAACAACCCTATTCTAAACAACTGTCGTTATACATATGTTTCAAATCAGATTTGAACCTTTAATTTTAAAGATGAAGGACAATATTTGATATTATTTGGTTAAAAGTCACTCGTAAAAGAAGTTAAAGTATTTGAAGCCATGAGAAAATGACGTTAAAAAATTATTTATTATAGGGTTAGCGGTTTAACATGTTTTCCGTTGGTCTTTTATTTTGATATAAAATTGTTTTAATTTTGAAAAATAAATAAATAGTATAGTGATGAATAAATGACCTTTATGTAAATACTATGTTAATTTGTTGTAAAGTGAAGGGGTCCCTACATGAAACAATATGCTAATGTCGATGCCCTTTTAAGCTTAAAATCGAGAAACACATTTTCTATCACATTATATGCTTACTGCATCAAACATGTGTCTTTTATCAAATCTAAGTTTTCATACAATTCACATGTTCTTAGCTTCCTTAGGCAATAAGTAGAAATGTGTCGCACACTACAATTTAATGCAACGGAATATAGCAAAAAAAAGACCTTAAATTGGAATTTAAGGTACCAAACGCATCCCATATACATGTATAAATAATAATCGGGTGTTGCTAAATCCTTTATGCAACGATGACCTTCTGTATACAAAATTCAACACCAACATCTATGAATCAAGCTAACACCGGACTGAATCTTCTAAGGCAAGAAACTTTGTATCTTCAATATTCAACCGATCAAATTCTTATAAGTTAGAGGTTAGTAGATAAAACAAATACATTCCATTCCCAAAACCCTGTCCAAATACGATGAATCCCAAAAATAAGTATTGATGATATAAACCATTAGAATATAATACAACCATTTTCTTTCGATATTCCAACGTACATAAGTAATGTACTGATGTCCATCCCAGCAACTGAGGTTGGCTAATACAGGGTTTTGAGAAAATGATATCAAGAGTGTATTTAGGTAATGTAAGAAAAGTAATTCACAAGATGCCATTTTTTGCTTATAACCCCTTTGTTTATTGTTTATAAAAAAAGTTTATGTGTGTGTGTCTGGTGTACGTGTGTGGGTGTGATGTCTCATGTGTGTGTATGTCCTTTGCCTCCCCAAAAATTATATGTGCTTTACCAATTTCCATAATTCCATGTTTTGTAGAAAGAAATAATCGTTAAATTTGGAATACTGAGATTGGAAAACTGAGATAGGAAAGTATGTTGCAAAGTCTGATTTTTTTGCACCAGAGTGAAATACTAAGGGCTATTTGGTAGTTTTTTAATTTTTATATAAAAAAAGTAAGTAAGATGTATAATGTTATAGTCTTATAGTCTCTTAATCCTGTTTTTTATTTTTTCAGCAACCGCTTATTTTATAGTAGTGTGTCTTACTTTTTAAATGGGAGCCTCTTTTTTTTCTTTCCAAAAATGTCCTAATCTTTTTTACCTCTTATCATTCTATTCACGTATACACCTCCCCATCCACCATCTTCTCTCGACGTACACACCCTCCACCTCGACCATGTGATCTCTTGTATGGTCACTGCCGATGGTCGTCTTCACCTCTAGCATTATCAAAACTCGGCGACAAGAGCCATTAGGTAAGGTTTTTTCTTGAATTGATTTTTTGAAATCGATTATGTGTATGATATGAGACAACATTTCTTTGAAGAAACCAATGATATAACATCTCAAATTTTCAACCAAATTTAAAATCTTCTAAGTATGAATTAAACAACCAAAAATCATCTTTTAAAAGAAACATGAGTATTCATTTTATTGGAACATCATAAAACAAACATAGAAGTTAACGAAATTCTCAAAAGAAATCATAGATGCGAGTACAGTCCCTTCGCGTCCATTCCTTTCTCACCAAACAACGTGAAAAATATTTAAATATAACGAGTACACACAAAGTTTAGCCAATTCCCTAGTATACAACAAACTCCATCACACATACAATGCATTCCAACGGTGAGCTCATAACCAACGCCACAATGGGGTTGTAGGCTCACAACCGTCATCTTATCTGACTTGTAGGCTCCTAGCTATCATTCCATTTGGGACAGTAGGTGCACAACCAACACCTCAGTGGTCATATAGGTGCACAACCATCATCTCATCTAACATGTAGGCTCCCAAACATCATTTCCTAACACTTTCCAATTACCAGAACAAAAGATTACTCTAGTCTAATCAAACATTCGTACACTAACAGTACACAAACATCCTACCATACAAAGGACATATGTAACATCCAGTTTCTGATGTCGGGGTAGTGGACTGTAATTTGTTCGAATAAACGTCTTGGGCTTCAAGGGAATAGATTTTAGACCCTATTAGATGTTGATAATGTTGGTTAAGTGACTTAATCCCTTGAATTATGCTTTGGAGCCAAATGGTAAAATGAGAAAAGTGTTATTTCCATCTTATTGCATGAATTAATGAATTTAGTTTAGTATGTTTTAAGTCAAAAGTAATTTGATATAAATTGTGGAGATTGTCAATACCTTCGCATGCATATAAAGATCACTAAAACGGAGTTTAAACGACGAAGTTATGGTTATTTAAAGTTGGAATGGATTTGGGGGAAAACCTGTCACCATAGCTTGATGAGGAGTTCACCATGTAGTCGTGAGTTGTGCAGCCCAAGCCTATTAAATTAGGGTTTGCTTTTTTATTTAAAGGCGTCTACCCCTTGTTTTAGGTCATTTGCAGCCTCCATTGCATCAAGAACCTCTCTTTCTAGCAACCCTAGCCTCCCTTCATAGATTAAGATCCTCATCTTTCTTCTCATCCATTTTTAATGGTGTTTTTATGGCTTTTTGAGTGTGTTGTTCTTCAAAGACTTGGTTTTGAAGCTTGGAAACGGTGGATATCATCCTTCATCTACCTTCTGGACCGTTGTGAGTTGCAAAGATCCTTGTTTTATTGTGTTTCATCATTAGATCTACGGGTATTTTTTGTTTTGGTCCATTTTAACGAGTTTTGGTCCCTTTATGACTTGTTCCACGGATTTTGAAGAACTCAATGAGCTTTGGTTCACATTTAAAGTTCAGATCTAGTGATTTGGTGGATTAAAGAGTGTGTGCAAGAACTCTCTTTACTCCATACATAAAGAAAAATGGGTTTTTGGTCATTTCTCAACTTAGGGTTTTAGATCTTGGAATTTTGTGGCACTATTATGAATAAAGTTGGAAACTTTATCCATTTAATCATCATGTTGATTCAAATCTAATAGTTGGAGGCTTGGACTTAATGGATTGAGTCGAGAAAGATGCATTCTTGGATTTTTTGAGACTTAAAGTCTAGATCTTGGTTGTTAAACCATGGGAATGGCTAAAGTTGAAAACTTTATCCATTAAGTCACTGAGAAGAATTAGATATGAGATTTGTGGCTTTGGACTTAAAGGATTAAGTCCTTAATGGCAAAGGTTGTTAAGCCAAGAAACTGTGGCGCGGTGGGCCGCTAACCACGACACGGTGGACAAGAGGTCCTACGTCTATTTTTTCATATCCTGGACACAACATGGCCAAAGTTTTCCCACGGTGCGGTTGGCCTTTGAACGTTAACAATTGAATTTTTGACCAGTTTTACTTTTAGTCAAACCTTGTTAGAATTAAATGTTTAGCTAAGGATTGGTCTCGGTTTGTTATTAGGTAGCTTGCGTTAGCTGTTCTGTTTTTGAGGTTGTTGTTAAGATTATTTCTTTTAGGTCAGGTGAGTTTGTATTACTATACTTTGTACTAAAGTATAGATCATTTGTATGTTTGGATGTTGATATGATGTACTGGTATGTTAGGCGAGTATATTTTTTATGATTACATGTGTGTGCTTGTTATTGTTATTTGCATATGTCGACATATTATGGTAGGTTTGAGGCGGTACAGTTGTATGCTGAAGGCCAAGAGACCCAGGCGGTCCAGTTCATATTGTAGGCCCAATGGGAGCGTCCCGGCTTGGATGTTGTAGGCTCCGGGGAGCGGCCCATCATAGATGTTGTAGGCTCCGGTGGCAGTCCAACCTTGTGTTATAGACCTTGTGTACCATCATTGTATGTGTATTGTTATGTGTGGTATTTTGTGGAAATCATTAAGTTTTGTCTTACAGTTGTGGATTAAATGTTTTTTAAGTACTTTACCCGTTCAAGGGAAGGAGAATGTG